GTCGCTGTTTTAATTGAAAATTACGGTCTCAGTTTCTTCTTTCATTATGCACTGTGTGCTTCAGGATTTGTTTTATGTGGTACACACATACCACATAGGTGTATTCTTTCATATCTAGGCCCAAATTTACTGCTCACAGCTTATCAGAGTGAGCTGAGCTTATGGCATAGATCTACGGTTTGGACCCTCAATGTATAGCCGTAGATCTACAGCACGGACTCTCAAAGGGTTAACCCTTTCAGGGTCGCCAGGCCCCTTCCGAGACTTGTTCTCAGGGTCACAAAAATTAAAAAAAAAAAAAAATAATTTTTCTTATGAAAAGATAGTTTTTTTTTTTTTAATCTTATAGGCTAAACAAAAATTTTTTACCATCAATACTTACCGAGATATGGAGGCGTAAAGTTGACAGAAAAATGCCTGGTATATGGTAACATCGCCGACTGCCGGTCACCTGGTATTACTTTATTTACTTTTTTTAGGTACTGTTTTCTATTGTTTTTTATTTTTTTTTTTTAAGTAACTTTTATGGTCTGTGAGACCAATATGATCACTATTTTGTAAGTTATTTCTATTTCTATACTACACAATAACTGCATAAACACTGTTGTCACTGTTTTCTTTACAGAAACTATTTACACAAACAATTGATATGAAATGTTTTTTATTACTATTTTTCTATATTTTATATACACATATACAGTCACAGGGAATGTTTCTAGAAGTTCTGCAGCCTGTGGAAGTCTTTGAAACATGGTGTCATGCACAGTGGTGTTTTACATTCCTCACACATAAAACGAGTGTCTCTGCGTTGTTGTGGGCATTTTTTTTGTATGTGCACAGACGTAACGCCTCTTTTGAGCCTTTTTCTTGAAAGCAGTAGCAGGCAGTTTTACTAGAAAGTGATCACCATGCTTCAGATGAGAAGGTAGTTGTTGATAATTTAGTGGGCAGTCTATTGCAGGTGTTGTTCCTTGGTACTTAAATATTATTTGTCTGATGACAGACAAACAGAATTTGCCATATGGTGGTTTGTTTCTGGTCCTCATCTTATACATATTATAAGCATTGAGCATGGAAATGTCCAGAAGATGGAAAAAGAGTTTTATGTACCACTTATAACTCTTGCAAACACATTTGTCCACTGAGCACATATTGAGGGTGTAATCAATCACAGCTGCAGGTTTTAGAATGGGTTCATTGCTGTCTCTATGCTGCCTGTCAGTGTTTGTCATTTCATTAGGGTGAACTGATGACAACAGTGTGACATCTCATTTGTCATGCCACCGAAATGCCATGATGTCATTGGCAGCAAACGCCTGCTCCTCACCTCCACACGCTCTGTGCCACACACATCTGTCATGTTCACTTGCAAAAAATCACTGAGTGAGGGGCTTGTGTACCAGTTATCAGTATATAATATATACCCCTTACCAAGGCATGGTTCTATCATTGTTCTAACCACATCACCAGAAATGCCCAATAACTTCCTGGTATTTTGCAATGTATAACTTCCAGTGTACACAATATCCAATACCAGACCACTGTAACAATCACAAAGCACAAACAACTTTATACCAAAGCGTTTCCTCTTGCTAGGTATGTACTGCTTGAAAGAGTCTTTCTTTGAACAGAATCAAAGACTCTTCAATTACAAGCTTCCTGAAGGGATAAAAATACATACTGAATTTCTCTTTCAGATACACATACACATTCTTAATCTTATATAACCTGTCGTTTCTGTCAGGCCTGGTTTTGTCTGAGAAGTGAAGCATATGTAATAGTAGCACAAATCGATTCACTCCCATTATATCACTGAAACCTGGGGTTGCAATCAGGTGGTCTGTTGACCAGTATGATTTCACACTGTGCTTATACACATGTGGCATAAGCATTATTGTGGCAAAGAAAAGATACATCTCAGCCACAGTTGTCTCCTTATACAGTGGACCCCCGCACAACAATCAGCTCCCAACGCGACCAATTATGTAAGTGCTTTTGGAGGTGTATTTTTGGGGGTCTGAAACGGGCTAATCTACTTCACAATATCTCTTATGGGAACAAATTTGGTCTATAACGGCACCCAAACAGACTTCTTGATTGAAATAATATCGTTATGCGGGGGTCCACTTTACTTATGTAGCTGTGAGCTTGGTGAAAGTATTGTGTTTGCCATGGTGTACTCGTAGTATCTGTTGTTTTCCCTGACAATAATTTCCATCAGGGGTTTGTCAAAGAATAACTCGAAACATTCCAGTTCACTGGCATTGTTCCCCAGTGTACAACATGGCCATATTCCACTTTGGCTTTCATCAAACTGGTGTGGATTTGGAACAAAATTGACAGCTTCCTGCTAATTCCAGGTGTGGTCTGCTGGTGGGTACTGGACATTGACAGGTGGTTGTGGTTGTGGAAGCTGGTGTGGTGGGTGGGTGGGGGATGGTGGCCTTTGTTGTAAATCAGCTGAGGCAGCGGCGTGGGTGGCAGCATGGCCCACTGCTGGTGCCTCACGGCCGGCACCACCACTACCACCACCATGCGCATTTTCCATCCCAATTGCAACACTATCATCGTCATTTTCACTGTCTGTTCCTGTTGTACAGCCACGGGATGTACTCCTTCCCCTTGGAATAGCATATGGCACACTACCAGAGCGCATATATCGTATATACTGACGCTTTACTGGAGAATATTCCACTTCACTACTGGAACTGTTTTCGAGAGCTTGTAGTTCATATTCACTATCACTATCATCACCAATGCTCACATCTGAGTCCGGGATTTGGGAAAATAGGAGTTTCCTCTTTGATTCTGATACAACTGAACTTGAACAAGACAGCCCAGCAGCAGAGGTGGAAGGCTGAGGGTCGTCTGGGTTTTCCTCACTATTACTGATATTATGGTCATTGGTTCTGGTCACAACCTCACCAAAACCTTGAAACTCATCTTTACTGGCACTTCCATCTGTATTAGAACTGTCACTGGGAAACAAAAGTGTCCCAGTTCACCAAGGAGTGAGGAGCTTTTTACCGCGAGGCATGGTGAACAAGGTCTACTAAAATGGCGTTCCCACAATGCGCCACTGGATCCCAGATTTTTTTCTACCGCGCACACCAACCACACACACCCATTCTCTCACATCTAGGCCTACCAGCCTTTTCCTGCGAGATTTGAAGGTGCTAGAATTTATGCGTACTAGTACGTCAAAAACCCTGGCGCATAAGCCGTACTAGTATGGCCGAAACCCTGAAAGGGTTAATACCTTAATCATGCATTGCTTACTTCTTAATAAGAGTTAAAACTCCTGTGTTATATAGTGAAATGCTAAAAAGGTAAATTCTTTATTCTTGAGTTAACCCTTAAACTGTCCAAATGTAGATCTTCGTTTTTTTAACATTTGAAAGTATGTAAAAAAGGAGATCTTCTTTTCTTTTTTTTACATTTGAAAATGTGTAAAAAAAACTTTGATCTACTTTTTTTTTTTATATTTATTTGAAAATATGTAAAAAAAAAAGTAGATCTACTTTTGGAGCACTACGCATGTGAACGTAGATCTGCTCAGACAGTTTAACCCTTTGAGGGTCGACAGGCCCTCTCCGAAACTCGTTCTCAGGGTCGGCCAAATTTTAAAAAAAAAATAAATAATTTTCTCTTATGAAAAGATACAGAATCTTTCCCCGATCATAAGGACACCAAAAGTTTGAAATTTGATGGAAAACTTACGGAATTATGCTCTCGCGAAGTTAGCAGTCTCGGGGATGGTTACGCATCGGCGATTTTGCCCACTTTGAGCCCCATTTTCGGCCAATTCCACTGTACTAGTCAACAAAAAACATGAATATTTCGCTAGAACTCCATTTTTTCTATCGAATGGATGCAACAAACCACCCATTTATGAAACTCAACTATCCAGTACAGTGGTCAGAATTTAGCAATTTTGCCAATTTCATACAAATTTCAAAAGATGCCAATTTCCGAATTGGGTCCAGAATAAACAAGAAAGACATTCCTGGCACTAAAATGACATTTCCTCTGGTCATTAGTCACGTCTCAAGGCCCCTCTTATATTCTTTTGCTTTCCACTTTGAATTTTTATTCTCACAAAAAAATAAAAGATTTACCGTTATGCAGACTACTGCATTAGTGTAAAAAATGGTATAAATATTATTGGCGCACTTGTGAAAGAATATTAGACTCACGAGTTGACGTGTATTGGACCATTGGCACGATTTGTTTACTTTTGAAATTTGGTAAAAATCGAACATTTCTGCTACTTTGAGCTCAATTTCAAGGTATCTTTCATTGTAAAACCAGTCAAAATCATCTCAATTTCTGTAATACAGTGGACCCCCGCATAACGATTACCTCCGAATGCGACCAATTATGTAAGTGTATTTATGTAAGTGCGTTTGTACGTGTATGTTTGGGGGTCTGAAATGGACTAATCTACTTCACAATATTTCTTATGGGAACAAATTCGGTCAGTACTGGCACCTGAACATACTTCTGGAGTGAAAAAATATCGTTAACCGGGGGTCCACTGTATGTCTTCCATTCTATAAAATGAGACCAAGAAAACTAAATACAACAATAAATACCATACAAAAATACAGTGCAAAGTCGCTGTTTTATCCAAAAAAGCGGTCAAAGTTTTTTTTTTTTATCATTATTCACTGTGTGCTGCAGGATTTTTTTTAGACTGTGCACACTGACCACATAGACCCATTCTTTCATATGGAGGCCTAGATTTGAGGGCGCTAGAATTTAGGCGTACTAGTACGTCAAAAACCCTGGGTCGTAAGCTGTACTAGTACGTCTGAAACCCTCAAAGGGTTAAGGGTTAAATATTACATAGCTTTTCTTTGTATGCCTACTGTCAAATTCTTTGCCCAGTTAACCAAAATTAAATGGTTACATTTTTCTTATATCCCAAGTACCGCAATAATAGCTATGTATATATTTTTACTACTGTATATTTATGGCACATTATTGTATCTTTCCAGGTTAGAAGTTGTGTGTATTACTCCTAAGTTTGACACACAGCATCACCTAACACAAGGCTCAGTTTTCCGTGCTTTTACAGTAGCTGTATCAAATGTACTGCAGGTTTACAGGTTAGTATTGCATGTCTTAGTGTCACATGCTTGGAAAAAGTGATATTAACTAAATTGTTTCCAAATTATTTTATTTTAAATTAGTTAAGTACAGTTTTGTTTTTTAACACGCTGGCCATCTCCCACTGAGGCATCGTGACCTGAAACAGAAGAAACGACTTCATAAAGCTTTTTTTTTTATTTAGTAATTTATACAGAGGAAAGGGTTACTAGCCCCTTGGATCCGGCAATTTAGTTGCCTCTGACAACACGCATGGCTTACGAAGGAAGAATTCTTCTCCATTTCATTGAGAAAAATTATCATCATAGTACAGTGGAGCCCCGCTTAACAATCACCTCCCAATGCGACCAATTATGTAAGTGCGTTTGTACGTGTATGTTTGGGGGTCTGAAATGGACTAATCTACTTCACAATATTCCTTATGGGAACAAATTCGGTCAGTACTGGCACCTGAACATACTTCTGGAATGAAAAAATATCGTTAACCGGGGGTCCACTGTATTTATATGATAGCAATTTTTTTTTTTCAAAACGTCTGTCATCTCCCACCGAGGCTGGGTGACCCAAAAAGAATGAAAATCCCAAAAGAAAATACTTTCAACATCATTCAAAACTTTTACCTCGCTCATACATAATCACTGTCTTTGTAGAGGTGCTCAGATACGATAGTTTAAAAGTCAACTTCCAAACTGCCAATATCCCAAATCCCTTCTTTAAAGTGCAGGCATTGTACTTCCCGTTTCCAGGACTCAAGTCCAGCTAACCAGTTTTCCTGAATCCCTTTGATATACCTTCGAAGAGTTTCGAGAGTTTATCTACTCTCTGAGCCTGGCCATGGGCCAGGCCCATCTGGTGCTTGCCTGGTCAACCAGGCTGTTGCTGCTAGAGGCCTGCTGCCCCACATATCCATCACAGCCTGGTTGATCTGGCACCTGATGAAGATACTTGTCCAGTTTCCTCTTGAAGGCTTCTACACTTGTTCCAGCAGTGTTTCTGATATCTTCTGGTAAGATGTTGAAAAGTCTGGGACGCAGGATGTTGATACAGTGTTCCCTTATTATCCCCACCGCTCCCCTGCTCCTCACTGGGTTTATTTTACACTTCCTCCCATATCTCTCACTCCAGTATGTTGTTACGGCAGTGTGCAGATTGGGGACCAAGCCCTCGAGAACCTTCCAGGTATACATTGTCATGTACCTCTCTCTCCTCTGCTCCAATGAGTACATGTTCAAGACTTGCAGGTGTTCCCAGTAGTTTAGGTGCTTTACTGGCTCAGTGTGAACCGTAAATGATCTCTGTATTTGTTTCAGCTCCAATATTTCTCCTGCCTTGAATGGGGCCGTCAGCACTGAGCAATATTCTAAGTGAGGGAACACTAGTGATTTGAAGAGTGTCACCATCGGCATTATTTCCCTTGTTTTGAAAATTCTCAATACCCACCCCATCATCTTCCTGGCTGTTGTCATCTTTGTCTTGTTATGATCTTTAAAAGAAAGGTCCACTGACATAATTATTCCTTCACAAAATATTACCCTGCTCACACTCCAACAGCTTGTCAGGTCCCAAAAACCATTCATGTCCATTCACTCCTTTTTAACACGCTCACACATGCTTGCTGAAAGTCCAAACCCCTCAACCACAAAACCTTCTTTACCCCTCCCTCCAACCTTTTCGAGGACGACCCCTACCCTGCCTTTCTTCCCCTACAGATTTATACGCTCTCGAAGTCATTCTACTTTGATCCATTCTCTCTGAATGACCAAACCACCTCAACATTCCCTCTTCAGCCTCTGACTAATACTTTTAGTAACTCCACACCTCCTCCTAATTTCCACATTCCGAATTTTCTGCTTAATATTTACACCACACATTGCCCTTAGACAGGACATTTCCACTGCCTCCAGCCACCTCCTCACTGCAGCATTTGCAACCCAAGCTTCACACCCATGTAAGAGTGTTGGTACTACTATACTTTCGTACATTCCCTTCTTTGCCTCCATGGATAACATTTTTTGTCTCCACAGATACCTCAACCACTCATCTTTTTTCTTCATCAGTTTTATGGTTAACTTCATCCTTCATAAACTTATCTGCTGACAAGTCAACTCCCAGATATCTGAAAACATTCCCTTCTTCCATACTCCCTCTCTCCAATGTGACATCCCTATCTAAGAAAGGCATATGAAGGAAGTAAATGTGTTTAGAGTTTGGGAGTGGACTTATCATTGGAAGTGTCTGAAAGATGAGTTGAGCCATAGAATTATGGGGGGTAGGGGGTCAGTGAACTTTATCCAGGGAGGTAAAAAGAAATATTCCTGAGTATAGTGGTACTAACACCACTCATATATGAGTATGAAATTAGGTATTATATGTTTCAGTGAAGAGAAGACTGGAGGCAGTTGGTATATCATGTCAGAGGGCAATGTGTAATGTGAATGTTATTTTTATGCGGAGAATTGGTGGTTTTGAGATTAGAAGGTGGCATGGCTTACCAAAAAATTATTATTCAGAGGGCTGAGGAGTTACTGAGGTGGCTTGGACATTTAATAATAATAATAATAATTGTGTAGTAGGTTGGTAGACAGCAACCACCCAGGGAGGTACTACCGTTCTGCCAAGTGAGTGTAAAACGAAAGCCTGTAATTGTTTTACATGATGGTAGGATTGCTGGTGTCTTTTGTCTGTCTCATAAAATGCAAGATTACAGGTACGTCTTGCTACTTCTACTTACACTTAGGTCACACTAAACATACACGTACACGTTTATTTATACACACTCATCTGAGTTTTCTTTGATTTTATCTTAGTTCTTGTTCTAATTACTTTTCCTTTTATATCCATGGGGAAGTGGAATAAGAATCTTTCCTCCATAAGCCATGCGTGTTGTAAAAGTCAGCTAAAATGCCGGGAACAATAGGCTAGTACAGTAACCCCTTTTCCTGGAAAAATTACTAAAAACTGTCAAAGTGGGAAGTTTGAATGTGCATGGATGTTGTGCGAATGATAAGAAAGAGACGATTGTGGATGTTATGAATGAGAAGAAGCTGTACACAAATAACCCGCACATAAAAGAGAGAAGCTTACGACAACGTTTCGGTCCGACTTGGACCATTGACTTTGTCAATGGTCCAAGTCGGACCGAAACGTCGTCGTAAGCTTCTCTCTTTTATGTGCGGGTTATTTGTGTATCGTTCCAGTCACGGTATTGTGCCTTTTTGTTATTTATTGAGAAGAAGCTGGATATCCTGCCTTTAAGTGAAACAAAGCTGAAGGGGGTGGGTGAGTTTCAGTGGAGAGGAATAAATGGGATTTAGGTCAGGGGTTTCTAATAGAGTTAGAGCTAAAGAAGGAGTAGCAATAATGTTGAAGGATAAGCTATGGCAGGAAAAGAGGGACTATAAATGTATTAATATAAGGATTATGTGGAGTAAAATAAGGGTTAGATGTGAGAAGTGGGTTATAGTAAGCGTTTATGCACCTGGGGAAGAGAGAAGTATAGAGGAGAGAGAGAGAGATTTTGGGAAATGTTGAGTAATTGCGTGGGGAGTTTTCAACCAAGTGTGAGAGTACAGTACTTGTGGTTGGGGATTTTAATGCTAAAGTGGGAAAAAATGTTGTGGAGGGAGTAGTAGGTAAATTTGGGGTGCCAGGGATAAAGGAAAATGGGGAGCCTTTAATTGAGCTATGTGTAGAAAGAGGTTTGGTAATAAGTGATACATATTTCATGAAAAAGAGGATAAATAAATATACAAGGTATGATGTAGCATGTAATGAAAGTAGTTTGTTAGATTATGTATTGGTGGATATAAGATTGATGGGTAGGCTCCAGGATGTACACGTTTATAGAGGGGCAACTGATACATCGGATCATTATCTAGTTGTAGCTACAGTTAGAGTAAGAGGTAGATGGGATAAGAGGAAAATGGCAACAATAAGTAAGAGGGAGGTGAAAGTGTATAAACTAAGGGAGGAGGAAGTTCGGGTGAAATATAAGAAACTATTGGCAGAAAGGTGGGCTGGTGCAGGTATGAGTAGTGGTAGGGTTGAAGAGGGCTGGAATAGTTTTAAAAATGCAGTATTAGAATGTGGGGCAGAAGTTTGTGGTTATAGGAGGGTGGGTGCAGGAGGAAAGAGGAGTGATTGGTGGAATGATGAAGTAAAGGGTGTGATAAAAGAGAAAAAGTTAGCTTATGAGAGGTATTTACAAAGCAGAAGTGTTACAAGAAGATTAGAGAATATGGAGAGTAAAAGAAAGGTGAAGAGAGTGGTGAGAGAGTGCAAAAGGAGAGCGGATGATAGAGTGGGTGAGGTACTGTCAAGGAATTTTAATGAAAATAAGAAAAAATTTTGGAGTGAGTTAAACAAGTTAAGAAAGGCTAGGGAACAAATGGATTTATCAGTTAAAAACAGAGAAGAGGAGTTAGTAGATGGGGAGAAGGAGGTTTTGGGTAGATGGCGAGAATATTTTGAGGAACTTTTAAATGTCGACGAAGAAAGTGAGGCGGTAATTTCATGCACTGGCCAAGGAGGTGCTATATCATCTTTTAGGAGTGAAGAAGAGCAGGATGTGAGTGTGGGGGAGGTGCGGGAGGCATTACGTAGAATGAAAGAGGGTAAAGCAGCTGGAACTGATGGGATCATGACAGAATTGCTAAAAGGAGGGGGGAACATAGTGTTGGAGTGGTTGGTATTTTTGTTTAATAAATGTATGAAAGAGGGGAAGGTATCTAGGGATTGGCGGAGAGCGTGTATAGTCCCTTTATATAAAGGGAAGGGGGACAAAAGAGATTGTAAAAATTTTAGAGGAATAAGTTTACTGAGTATACCAGGAAAAGTGTACGGTAGGGTTATTATTGAAAGAATTAGAGGTAAAACAGAATGTAGAATAGTGGATGAGCAAGGAGGTTTTAGAGTGGGTAAGGGATGTGTAGATCAAGTGTTTACATTGAAGCATATATGTGAGCAGTATTTAGATAAAGGTAGGGAAGTTTTTATTGCA